CACATGCTTACAAGGGAGGGGTTTCATCACCTCCCTAGATGAGGTTTAGTTGCCCATTGGTGAGCTAGAAGAAGGAAGAAGCATCATCCTCATCTCCATTTTTGAGCTCCTACTGTAGCACTCAAGAACACCCTTCTCCTTGCTCTCCTCTCTCTCCTCTCTCTTGCTAAAGATAAAGCTTAATGATATATGTGGCCTTTGGGTAGCCTTTTATGCTCCAACAATACCCTCTCTCCTCCAAGGAACACCTCCAACCACTTCATAAAGAAGGAAGATGGCATTGAGGAAACCAATGTGCAAGTGGGCTGAAATGAGCCATTTCCGAAGGGCATTCTGCCTGATTTTTGAGCACACGCTTGGTGATCTCGAGCACTCTAACTTAGTGCAATGTGCAACATGCTCCTCTTGCTCAGTGCTGACCTATTTTGGGAAAACTGCTATAACTTTGTGCCCCGAACTCCGAATGACGATCTGTTTGAAGATTTGGAGAGCTAATTTAGTGCTTTAAAAACTTCATGTTTTGATGAAGACCCAATTCTCAAGTCTGGTTGGTCGAAAATGGGGAGAAAGGCAGTACATCAGTGCTGCTAGGCAGTTCTGCGCACCTCTGTTGTGAAGATCATAACTCTCTGCTCCGAACTCCGAATGATGAACCACTTGAAGATTTGGAAAGCTGATTCAGAGCTCTAAATCTTTCATGTTATGAGGGAAGTCCAGTTCTCGAGTTTGGAAGGTCAAAATGGCAAGCAAAGTCCAAGCTCTACTGCTGCCAGAATTCAGCATTGGCACCTTTTGTTGCTCAAGATTCCACAAGGCCTTATTCTTGTTCCATTTTGGCCAATGAACCTGAAAATGCATAAAAACATGCAAATGGAGTTAATCTACATAAAATAATTAATAACTGGACTTTGTTAATGTAATTTAGGGCGCTTGAATATACAATATTCGGCGCTTATCAGTTGTGCCAAAAACTGACAAACGGAGATAAGACAGAATAGGGAAAAGGATGAAATAACGCATAGTGTCAAAAAACGAAAAATGTGAAAATGACTCGGTCCTCAAAAGAAGTTGTCTATCCACGAAAAAGAGTCTCAGGAACCAATTCCGAGCACTCGAGATGACACTAAGCGACACGAAACAGAGCTCAGAAAAGAAAATTAAACGAAAAAAATTCATTTGTAAAATTTCAGGAAAAAGGAAGGCAAATGACCGGGTCGTTACAATAGGCATCCCATACTGTTTTTTCAACTACCATGCATTGTTTCATTTCGTCATAACCAAATCCACTAGCATTTAACATATCATGGACAACGTAAAAAATGAGTTTTCAAAGTTTTCATTCTTGATTTAATATGTAGGTCTGCCTTTAAACCTGGACTTGGTAAATTGTTTGCAAGTATTTTTTCCACAACTTGAAAATGACCGGGTTTAAAACCACGATCAGCAATGTACTTCCCAGTGTTATGTAAATCAAGAAGAGCCCCAATAAGTTTCATATCTTCTTCGTGAGTGCACTTTCTTTTATTTTTACCGGGTCCATTTTCTATCCCTAATTTTTTGCTGGGTCTACTTTCCATTCCTAATTTAAAATAGGGCAAATTACATTTAACATCCACGAGGTTTTTATTTTGTACACCTAAATAGAAGTATGCGCAATATATTCGTTAACCACCCTTATGGTTTCATTCTTGAGTGTTGCATCAAATCAATGTAGGGTAATTATATTTTTGGACAAAAATAACATTGATATTGTGAGAAGACCAAATTGTCCATTAATTAAATTGAAATTAAATCATTAAAAAAGGACAAAAGTGCCCTTTCTCTTTATCTTTACGTCCAGCCATGCAAACCTTTTCCCTCCACTATTTGAATTAAGTTTTGCGTATAACATCAATGGTCCATCAAACCAAACCAAATTCCAATGTCTTATAATAACCCATGTTTTGCATGTAACTGCACAGCTTATGCCATGTTAGGAATAGCCAAGACAATGGTCTCTGGAAGTATCTTTATTTTTTCTGTTTTAGCTATGATCTTGTTATATGCTTCTGTATCCTAGTGACAGAGACATTGGTCATGTAGTGTAGTATTTTTTTGAAGTGTGATACAAAATATTAGATTATCCTTACTAATTTACCAACACATACAAACCAACAAGTCATAAATATTACATCAAATAAGTTCTCAAGTACAAATGCCAACAAGCATATTCATGTTCCATATTGCGACAACAAGTATATTCATGTTCCAAATTGCTTGTTTACCGCCGATGGGTAAAAACGTAAGTTACCCTCATCAACTACCTTCCAGATTTATCTTTTGAATAATGGTTAAGTGCCTTAAGGCCATATATGTAAATTTACTTTCATATCTAAAAGTCAACTAGTCAATTTGAACCTTACTGTAATATTGTAGTCCATACTTCTATTTAAGTGCACAATATATAAACCATGTGGGTACTAGATGTAATTTGCCCTTTAAAATGGTACACCGATACAAGAAAGTTTTAAAATAACGTCAAATATAATTCTTTATACACAAGATAGCATATAACATAATAATATTTCAAAAATAACACCGAGTAATTAAAAAAGGACATAGATCACAAAAGAAATATGTACCAAGTCTCAAGCAATAAAAAAAAAAGTACATTAAACACAAAATAGATACCAAGTCTTAATCAATAAAAAAGTACAAAAATGCTATCTTTTAAAATTTTTATTAGGTTATGAACAATGTAGAACAATGGCAAACCCTTGCAAAAAAAAAATATAAAAAAAAAAAAATAAATAAAAAAAAAAAAAACCTCAGACCCATTTTATCAAAAACCTCATATACAGAGTGCTAGGTAAAATCTTTTCTTTATACATAAAACAAAATTGCAGAAAACCAAGCATCCAAATCAAATATTGATAATCCATCATATTAGAGAACATGATTTAGTGAAAGAGAGATTGGAAATCAACTACAGAAACAACGGAGAGAATCAACCATACAGTACAACAAGAGTACCATAGAACTCCACAAAAATAAATAAATAAATAAATAAAATCAAAGGCTTTAAATTATTATGAAGAACAGAAATTTACCTGAGACTTCTAATCACTTATACCCTTTTCAAAACTTTGCTTGAATTTCACTTGCTCTTGTTTGGTTGTTTTGGAAATCTGCGAGGTAAGAAAAATATGAATGAGCAAAACTTTGAGAAAAAAAGAAAAAAAAAATTTCTTTAATCAATTCTTTTTTTTTTTTTCCCCTACTGTGTATACATATATAATGGATTACAAAAGAGCCTTGAGATTTTTCTCATATCCTGAGGTACCCAACCAGCGGATATATGATATATATATATATATATTCCATGGTATACAGTGCACTGTGAAGAGAGAAAGAGGAGAAAGAGAGTGTGTACCGTGACATAGCGAGAGAAGAGAGATAGATTGAGACAGAGTCTGTCAGATCTGTAGAGAAGAATACGTATGATTTTTTTGTCCTTGCATTTTATTATTTTAATTTAGTGGGAATGGAATGGCCATTCCACAAGTCCAAAAGAGGAATGGTCATTCCATCTAAAAGCTGGAATGAGCATTTCAAGGGAATGACCATTCCACTTTTAAAGTGGCACACCAAACACGAGAAAGGGAATGAGAAAGTGGAATGGTCAATCCATTCTAGCCCATTCCATCACACCAAACTAGGCCTTAGAGTTTTAATCTAATTATTTAGGTTAAAAGAGCCCTTTGACAAGTCAAAGGGTATTTAAGTCACTATATGATGTTAAAGCTTTGCAAGTGACAGTTGGGGTGTGAGTGATAGTAATTTTCGAAAGACGTTTCATGGTGATATTTGACTAAACCTGATGGGGTGTTATTGAAATTAAACCTTTTTTTTTTTTTTTTTTTTCAGCCTCAAAACGACGTGGTTTTGGGGTTGGGTTTTTTTTTTTTTCGAAAAAATTAGTGATCGTTGGCCAGCTCGTTTTGAATTGGAGACAATTTTTAAAATAAAATAAAATAAAAAATTTAAGAATTTAATTTGTGTGGCTTTTCTGACAAGTGCCAGACTGTTTATCACATGTGTTGGTGAGAGATTTAAATTATTTGACCTCCTAGCCATGTTCGTGCTTCTTAGAATGCCATGGATGTGGAGTAGTAGAAAGTGAAAAACAAAAGACCTGATTTACTTTACTTTCTTTTGAATCTAAAATTATTTAAGGGTGCAAGAATATATTGTGAATATTTTAAAAAATTGAGTGGAAATGTGAGAGTGTGGAAAGAATCGATTATCATGAACATGGAGGCAATAAAGAGTAAAAAAAAGAGATGATTATTTTTTGAATCCATTTAAATCAAAGGGGGCAAGGATGTGAAGTGGAGTATTTTTTAATAAATTAAGTGGGGGCATTATTAAAATTTTAACAAAAATATAGGTAGTAATAAAAATAGAAAAAAATTCAATCGGAGCACTGGTCCTATGCTAAGTCTGTTGATTTGAGGGCTGAGTAATTGGGAGTTGGTGTAATTTACCTTAAAATTTAGTAAAACCCTTTATCTCATCCTTGTTACACCATAGAAGAACATTTGACATGATTTCTATTTATAATTATTAATTTATTCATCACATAGGAACCTATTTGCACCAAATTAATAATATAGGAGAGTTTTATATCACACAGAAACCTTTTTACACTATATCAATAGTAAAAAAGAATTTTTTTGCACTTAACCGATATATATATATATATATATATATATATAGGCCCTCCACAGTTTTTATGTCCTTTCCTCCTTGGATCAATCTTACATTTCACAAGTGATACCCACTAAAAAAGGGTAATTATGTAAAAACATTGCCTTTCCTCCTTGGATCAACCTTACATTTAAAAAGGGTAATTATGTAAAAACATTGTCACCGGTAATAAGCAATGTAAAAAATAAAAAGTACTGAAATAGTAGTGAAGTGGCCTTCTGGTTTCATACCCTTATCTTCATCCAAAGCTTTTGTTTTCATCATCTCCAAAACCAGTAGTAGGACACAAAACCAGTAGTAGGACTACTAGTGTGTGAATAAGCGAGAGAGAGAGAGCCTTTATACACACCACAAACATGCTCAGCCTCTCCACTGCTTCACCTTCAACCCTAACCTTCCTTCCCAAACCGACCCTCTTCTCAAACCCCAAATCTTCCTTCAATGGCATCCGAATTGCTACAGTGTGCCCCACGCGCTCTCATTGCGCGTGCTCCGTTCGAACCAGCCGAGCTTCTTCGGTGGTGATGATGGCGAAGAGAGAGGAAGAGTTGAAGGAAATCAGAGAGAAAACCACGGAACAAATCAACGAGGAAATCATCGATCTAAAGGGTGAGCTGTTCATGCTTCGTCTTCAGAAATCGGTTCGGAACGAGTTCAAATCCAGCGAGTTTCGCCGTATGCGTAAAAGGGTACAATCGCTTTGCTACATTCCATGTCTCTTGTTGTTCACACACATACACACATACTGCGTGAATGTATTTGTTTGTATAGTTATTAAATTATTTGTTACTTTTGCGCCAAACTCTTCTTGGCTCTGGCTATTGCCAGAGAGTAGGAATGACCCATTTTCGCAAAGCTCTTTATCCCCTATAATTTATAAACAAGAACTTCACTGGGTCGGAAATAATGATATTAAATCTCATACGTTTAATATATAAAAAATAAAAATTAATCATGTACCTGAACATGCTATATTTTCTTCATAAATATGAATGCAAGATGTAATGACAATTGATTACATGTTTTTAAGTCAGAACAATGGTGAATAAGTATCTAATATGGATGAGGACAGAGGGAAAGAAATGGAACATTGAATACAACTGAGTAGTAAGACTAAAGGTCAGAAAAAGCAAGGAGCAAAGTAAGGTAGAGTAAACGAAAGTGGGAAGAACTAGTGGTATCTCCACTCCATTTAAAGCGAAAGGTGGAGGAGGGTTCAAGTCTTACAAGAGCATTGTGGGTGTTATTTGGAAAAAAAGGGAGATTCGGTAGAGAAATAACACGAAGGCTTGGACATTGGAGTTAGATGCCAGTCATTCTTCAAATCACTATGCATAAGGCTCAATGCCTGGGGCCTTTTGAACTTGCCATGTGCTGGTTAAGTTTCGGACATGACCCGTGTGCTGGTTAAATTTCGGACATGACCCATGTGCATGCGTCGGTTGTTGGGGTTTATCCGACAATGCTGATCAAATCAGCTTTTGATCAGCATTCCCTTGGCACCTAATGACAGGATCTTAGTTTTATGTAAAAATCAGTTCATTTTGATTCAGGATCATGCCTTCCCTTGGTATCTTTGCATGTTTCTGTACTGGGACAAAATCTATGTTTAGTTGTTGACCGGCGTTTGCCACGTGTGAGTCATCTTGGGCTACCTGCGGCCTTGTCTACAAGTACAATTTAGGTGCAAACCTTGCTAGCTTCAAATGCCTCATTAGATCATTTTTTGGTTTTTATGAGTCATTTGATTTATTAATATAATTGCAATAATTTTAAAAAAGACGGGTAGTCACTTTGGCTGCTACAACCATGGCTTCATAAGACCTATTCCATTTTTCCGTGGTTAATTATCTCATCGTTATAAAGGTGTCTCCCTACGCCTTTTTACTCCATTTTAGTTGCTTCTATTGTTTTCCTCACCATCTAGTTCTTCATCCTCTTCCTTTGTTTTGAGGGGGGAAGGGTTGCATCCCTGAAAATATAGTTTCTTTCTTGTTTTCATTGGTCGCTTCACTTTATTCTAGTTTGACTAAGAGTTGGTAGCCTTACCTTTTGCAAGGAGTCTTCTAAGTTGTGGGGGAATGACATCCCTTTCGTCCATTCTTTTCAGCTTGGTCCTCATTCTCTGCTATCTTTCCTTCTAACTCCTCAACGTAAAAAGAGGAGGTAATTCTTCCAATCGAGGGTATATTTGGTGATTAACCCTTGTCCTCAAGGTCATTGCCCTTGTTCCTGCCACTGCTGGATGGTCCTCTTTAATCTTCCAATGGGGTGGTTCAATTTTGACATTCGGCTCTCATCTTATGGTTTTGTAAGATTGTTGACAACGCCTTCTCTCGGGCCAAGAAAGATGCTCTTCTACTGGTTACCTTGGCAACCAGGGGTCTGGCCTGAATTCATAAGCATCTTGATATATGAGTTTGGATCGGTGTTGGTCTGACTGGATCTACTTTTTTTCTTTGCCTACTCTGAACAACCCCAAGTTCTGGACACTAATCCTGCTTGATTAAGGCGATTTGGGCCCCTTTTAATTCTTTCTCCAGTTCTTGCATTGATTTTTGAGTTGGTTCTCCAACAGGCTGAATCTAGCTATGAGAACTTCGATGAGCTGCCCTCGTAACTGGTGAAGTTTAGATAGGTCGGCTATTGATTTTTCTTGCTCAATTTTATAAAACTGGGTATAAACATCTTCTTCGTTTGCTGTCCCATGTGGTCCAAGCTTGGTTGCTGACTTAAATACCATGTGAAGGTTCTGCCTGTGAGTGATATAGAGAAGTTTCATGCTAAGACAAGCGCTAGTTCTGGCTCCACACTGGACCGTAAATCAGCTAATGTGTTCCTCTGTGAATTGATGACCTTTTTAAAAGGTCTCAAACGCAAGAACTTTGTAATTTCGTGGAAGATTAATTTAGTCATTTGACTTGGAGTATGGTTGCCTAAGCAGCTGCTGTGTTATCCTCCATAACACTGGTCCATATTGTTCTTAGATGATCTCAACCAACTGCTTTCTATTAAAAACCAACTGTTGGAGCTGTAATGGATCAATTGACTATGAATTTGACCATTTGCTACCTATGTCTGCGCAAGGCATCAGCTGATTTTTTTGGGCGCTGATACCTAATGGTTCCATCTAAGGACACACACGAGGTGAGGCTGGTGGTATAGGTTACAGAATAGGGGCTAATGGTGGTGGCTAAAGTCACTTCTCCTGTTGAAGAGGAAGTTGAGAAGGAAATGGCTCCCTTAACCTATCTTGTTGAATTTTTGCGCACTGGGGAGTTGAAATGGCATGTCTGTCTATCCTAGTCGTTAGGGCATTAAGCGCCTCTCTCAACTATTATAGGTGACTATTGGTGTGGCTTGACGATGCCACTGAGTCGATACTCTTCGTGAATTTCCACGTAACTTTTTAGAAAGCTTAATATACTCTCAACAGATGTCACCATATGCTTATAGTATCGTCCACCCCTTGATTGATGGTTTGTTGCCTTTCTTCATGCATACATGCGTAGATACTGAATCTCACATGTTGGAGTTATATTGTTTTCCTTGTTCAGTAGGTGTTTTAGACCTAGACCTTACCCAAATTCTAGTTTGACACTTGCCCATTAGGCGTGCTTTATAGTTTGCATTGCTTTGGCCGGATCCGTCTTGGCCAAACTACCTTGGGTGAGTAGCTTGACCAAAAAATTTTGGCGAGATTTACATTTCCATCGGGTCTTCTTTCTTTTGTCATTTTTTGTATGTAAGCTTGTGACACGTTTTTTAGAAGGTGTCAAATTATTTAAGAGGATCATGTTACGTTGTTTGAAAACTACTTTATTTATGCCTATGTGTTTGACATATATTTATTGGCTAATTTTGAAGCAAGAATTTATTGCTATAATGAGTTCAAATTAGGTTGCTCATTTTTTTTTAAAGGACCATTTGGCCTTGCTCAAACTAAGTGTAGATGATATATCAACATAAATTTGAAGGTATCAAAAGGATGGGAGATGTTTAGAGCTCCTAAACCTTTTTTATGTTGAAGTTTTTTGCTTTGCAGAGGTCCCATACCAACCCAACATGAACATTAATTTTCATTTTTGGTTAGAGCGACACTGGGTGTGCCTAGTTGTTTACACCATTTTTTGGCACAAACATTTTGGCTCGCTTCCTTGTTTGTCGAGGATGCATGGGCATGCTAGTCCTTGACCCGAACTCAAAGTGTAATTTAGAGCCAAACCGTTTTTCTTTTTGAGGGAACTGGGACAAGGGCCCATCTATAGAGGTGGTAAGGGAAGGCCATTGAATTTTCCTCGGAGGCAGCGGCTTGGGCCCACAGAAAATGCAGTTGTCAGGTCGACACCGGGTCACAATGCGACCTGAACCAAATTCGGGCCACATCATCACATGAGTTTATACGGTAGAGAAGAAAACTAAGCTATATTAGAAAGAGAGAGTATTGAAAACAACTAAACTAACAACAAAGACAGAGAAAGCTACATTGAAGAGGGCGAGATAAGGTACAACTGAACTAGGCTATAGGTATGACTAAAATAAAGTACAATTATGGTGGTTGGTAGAGAAAATGATAAGCGTGTTCATGTTGGTTTGGTATGGGACCATTTCGCAGACAAAGAAACTTCAGTGTATAGGTTTTGAAAGCTCTAGTTAATTCCATTCCAATGGAACAAAACATTTTCCCAACTATTTTGGGACATGCTATTTCCATTCTCTTGACACCATATAATTTGTGTCAACGTCTTCACTCCTTGACGTTTAACCAAGGCCACTTGGGGCTTTCACAAAAATAGGCCTTCTGATTTAAACCCATTATTATTATTATTATTTTTTGATAAGTCTGATTTAAACCCATTATTGCACTAAATTTTTGGGTAGAATGTTTCCATCTTTTAGCCAATCTACATATGTATAGATATATATGCAAGTGCATGTATATATGTGCATATATAATTGTTTTAGACAAGGTCATGGGGACCTCATATATGCTAAGAATGTGTCAAAATGGGTCTCTTCCATGTATAAATTGACATTAATAAGGTTTTTTGGCTGGTACTTGGCCATGGTAAACTAGCTGAGGTGAACCTGGCTGTGGCTATTTGGATAAAACGGGGTGCAAATATCAATATTATATTTGATAAGTAAAATATCAGTATTATATTTATCAAAAATATCAATTCTGTATTCCTCAATTTATTCTTGAAAATTTGGAGGGTGAATATAAAAAGTACACCTCCTTTACCTAGGTATTAGTTTATAAAAATACATAATTTTCCAATATAATGATTTAAATAAAAATCAAGAGCATTTTTTTAATTTTTATGATTTTTCCAAATTCATTTTGGTAGTGTTTCGTTAGCATTTTAAAAGTACTTATATTGCTTGCTATCTTAATGGAGGGAGTTGTGATCCTCAGATGCTGGAATAGCTTGCAGCAAGGCTTCTTTAGGTCTGCAGTTTTAGTGAGGGAAAGGAAAAGTGAATTTCTTCATGTTCCTTCTCTTAATTAAATTAGAAATTAACATTTTCTAAAAAGGTTGGGATTTAGGAAAAATGAAAAAGAAAATGACTTGTAAAATTAATATTTTTCAATTTATTTTCCCATATTTCTTTTTCCTCCACGCCTTCCATGGTATTTGAACAAGATAAAATGATTTCCTTTGTGTTGTTTTCCCTTTCCCTCACTAAATTCAACTTATTCTAAGGAAAGCAGTGAAAAGGGCTATGGTTTGGGGTTATGAGAAAGTCCTGATTGAAAATAGTGTGCAAGTACTCATTATGGCTATTCTAGAAAAGGAAGCTCCACCAGTGGATATTGAGACGTCAGTAGATTGGCTCGAAATTTGTGCTTCTGTAACTTTGTTCATATTAGTTGTAGTTATAACGAGGCACTCTATAGGGTGGCAAAAGACGGCCTTGCTGTTGGACTGGATGCTGCATTGAGGAAGATTTTCCTCTATGTATTGTTCATTTGATCCTTCAGGATTACAGGCCTTCTGGTTATTAACTTCTATTTAATAAAACTTGTCTTTAAAAATATATATACACATATGTTATTGTGAACTTGGAGGGAGTGTGGAGGGTCATGGTTGCAGAGACATCCATTCAGTTTTGGATAATGATATAATTTAGAATAAATTATACTTTCCTGCCCCGAGGTTTGTCAATTCCCACTCTTGGTTTCATAATCCCACTTACCTCCCCTAAGTTTGTGGTTTATGTAACAGATTCCCCACTTTTAGGGCACTTGGAGACAAACAGAATCTGTTGATGTCAGCAGTAGAAAATGGATAGAAGGTCAATTTTGCCCTTCTAATGCCTTAAATGATAGCAAACATTTCATGGAAAAAAAGGGTAAACTAACACACTACCATTACCAAGTTGGACGGCCATCACTGACAAGGGAGGTAAGTGGGATTATGAAACCAAGAGGGGGTCTATTTGGGATATTGACAAACCTCATGGGAGGTAAGTGGAATTTACCCTATTATTTATTGCGGTTTGAGCGGGTTTCAGATCTTTATTTGAACGGACTGGGATGTAGAGAGACTATTTTATGTGTTAATTATCTTATTGCAGCGTCTTTGATTCTTTTTAGATAGTTTTAGATGAGTACGAGTATCAAATTGCTAAGCTTGGATTATGAAGGGTTTGGTTTACTAATTTACTTCCTCCTATTCCATACTGATGCAAGAAGAATAGTTAGCCTTAATGAGTGGGTTTTTATTTTTTATTATTGTTAGTATTATTATTATTTTTATTATAAGTTGATATAGAGATACATCTCTCCGTATGTCCATATTTTTGGGCATTTTGAGTTTGGTGTATTATATGTTTAAATTACTACTTGATAATTGCGTTTACCATTATCTTGTACAAATGTAAATTTTTTTGTCCTTTTTTTTAGCATATGGGTGCTGCAAGAGGGACCTCTTATTTCTGACACTGTAGATCTGTTGCAGTTAGAAATATCTTGACTTGTTAGTTGGTTTCAGAACTTGATTGGTCTTGAGTTATTATGTTTATACTTTATAGCACTTATTTTTTAATGTTCTGGATGTTGTTATCATTGTCAACTCACTTGCTTTTAAATTGTTATATCATTCTCTGGATTTCTCTTTTGCTACTGCATTCTGCAATTGGTAGGTTGAACTGTTACATTCTCATCTTGCTTGGGTCCTTAATGTCACTGTCTGTGTTGATGTACAAACCAAGCCTGTGATGCAGACTCACAGCTTAGTCTATGGAAACTTTACTTGTGAAACTTAGCTCGGGCAAAGTTTTAGTGCAATATTAATGCTTTTGAACTAATATGTAGTTCTACAGGTGAGTGGGGTAGACCATAAGACATCCTTCATGGCCCTTTTTTTTTGGGCGATTCTCTCTCTTTTTTTTTTTTGGCGGTGTGGTTGTGCAGAGAGGGGTCTCATTTATCTCTTTTAATTTTTTGTCCGTCCTTGTTCTTGCTCTTCTTCTTTGATCATCATCATAAGTTCCTTCTTGGACCAGATCATCTTTATAATGTAATTATTAAAACTTGGTTTTCATACTATGCTTATATTTCCGTGTTTATTTATTAGAGGTTCACATGGAAGGATGTGGTTTGTGTCAGAGGCACTAAAAGGGCAAGGGAAGCCAAATTCACAGGTTTAAGTGGTGGCTTGTAATACACAGGAAGATATATTCCGAGATTGAGAGGAATGGTGAAACATTATTCACGGGGCCAACTTTAACTGAAATTATTTTATATATATATATATATATATATTTTCTCATTCAAGTAGTTGCTTTCTGGTATTATATCAGAAGGCTGTCAACAGGCCAAATGGTAGTAGGCTCCGATCATTTTCACTCATTTTCACTTCTACATACCCCCCTTTACAGTTACCGTCTGAAGTTCCTCCTAATCATCTGTGTATGCATGTGTAATCTAAAGCAACTGGAGAACTGACAATCTTTAGATGTATTCGTAGTCTTTGTTTCTTTATCATGTTAATCTGAATCTTTTCCTGAAAAAATAGGTTGCACGTATGCTCACTGTTAAGCGGGAAAGAGAGATCGAGGATGGAATTAACAAGAGGCTGTCGAGAAAGCTGGATCGACAATGGAAGAAAAGCATTATTGTTAGACCACCTCCGTCCCTGAAGAAGTTGCGAGAGGAAGAGGCAGCTGAAGAAGCCAAGGAATCATCGGCATGAGCTAAATGAATCCCTTTTTGATGAAAATGTTTGTGGAGTTCTTAATTTGTGACTATTTCTGTATCAAACAGTTAAATGTCAATATTATTCTGTTCCTTCTCTACAAACCCTCTTCTTTTTGTTAGAATGACTTGTGGTAACTTTTCTCTTATCCATTTCCAGTGAAAACAAGGCTGATGAGCATTTGTTCTCCTCATGGTCTTTCAAAAAATATGTAAATAAATAAATAAATAAAAAATCATTCTGATCATATTAAAAGAAGTGGTGAACTTGTGTTCACGGGTTAGAATCGTGTCGGGTTGATCTATGCAAAAACAACTGTTTAGTAATCGTGTTAGGAACCATTGGCACGAGCATGACCCGTTTAGTAAATGGATTGTATGGGTGTCTTGTTTAGCCTGTTTAATTTAAATGAGTTATGTTACCCGTTTATCAATTTAAGTATAATAGAAAATAAAATTCTTGAAAATGAGAATAATTTAGACAATACAATTATAAAAGAATCCAAATACAATTGTCATGTTGAATTTATATGATAATAATAGATATGTCCATAATAATTGGATTAAAACAAGTTAATTGGGCTCAACTAACACGATTAATTAAATAGGTCTAATTAGATTTAACAAGTTGACCTCTAAAGTACACTGATACTCCATAATAATTGGATTAAAACAGGTTAATTGGGTTCACCTAAAACGACTAATTAAATGGGTCTAATTAGATTTAACGATTTAACCTCCAAAATAGAGATACAACATGATTAATTAATAACGTGTCAACACGATTATTTCACAAACACTGTTAAGATCAATCCAAGCCCCTTAACTTTATGTGATGAAGAGGGAAGTTATGTCAAATTTTGACACTCCTAATTTAAAAGGTTGTGATGTACTTAAAAAAACCAAGAAGGAAAAGTCACATAAATCAGGACACTCTTTTAAAACTGAAATGTCGTGTATATATAATATATTTCACAGATATATTGAAAATCATAAACATTACTCCTTTTCTACGCAGAATGACGTTATTTTTCAATCAAAGATTTCTCTGCTTCAATTTTTTCAATAGTTGCAAATATAACGAAACAACTATGAACCATAATGCTGCAAATTTCGTTACATAAAAAGTTTGACATTTGTTGATTTTATTGACTGATTAAACTATTAAAAAATGGGAAAATGAATAGAAAAACTAAGTACACTAAGAAAAAAATTTGGATCGAAATTTAATCAAATATGTTCTGAAATTCAAATTGAAACTTTTGGTGTCTCCTTCTCGGGCATAATCAGAGCAAGAGAACTAGCGCTGATCATGATTGATTATATATATATATATATATATATATTGAAGGTAACGGTGGATTATTAAAACAACTTTTACCTTTTTTGTATTTCGTTTCCTTGCTAGGAATATTGCACTCAAATATTGCATCACATTCAAGTGTGAAATGAAAACACTTACTTGGCAGTATTAGTGGAATCGTCCAAGTTAATTTTTTGCATTATTAATGTTAGAATGTTTTAAATTTGAGATTGAAAAAAATTTAATTTATATTTTAATAAATTTCTTTTAATTTTAAAATTTAAGTTCATATTGTGACATTACATTTTAATCCCTATTAAAGGTACATTATAGGTTATGTGATTTATATTCTAGTTACATTGCAATGCCAAGAAGTCCGTACCACACATTCAGTGAATGAGTCATAAAAGAATGGAATTTGCTATAATGAGTTTAATGATATTTTTAAAAAGGGTTAAGTGCAAAAAAAATTTCTCTACTATCGATATACTGCAAAATGGTTCCTGTGTAGTAAAAAACTCTCTAATACTATCAATTTGGTGCAAATAGGTCCATATGTGGTATAAAATAATGATAATACCATCACTTCAGTTGAATAAATTAATAATTATAAATACAAACCATGTAAAATGACCTTTTTTATCCACTTATCAAAAAAATAAAAGGAATAATTTCACTCACACCCCCTGAGGTTTGGCCAAATATCACTCTTAAATATCTTTCGAAAAAACTATCACTTAGATCTATTTTTATTTTTCCGTTAAAACATCCGTTAAAAATATGAAAAAGACAACTTTACCCCTAATTTTTTAATCTTATTTATTTCAAAATATCAAGCTACTTAAATGACCACTATACCCATATATATATATATAACCATCCGGTTAGGCACAGAGATGATGGCAAAGGGAGATCGGTTGGGCACTGCAGCGATGGCCGAACGAAAGAGTGCGGGAGGGTCACCAGACACTGGTGGTTTGGGGGGAAGGAAGACACCTAACCAGAGGTTGCTGCGCCGTCGACTGTGGGTCGCTGTCGTGCGTCGTGGGTAACAATCTTCTCGTCGGCGGTTTACGTGGCCGTTGTGTGTGGATTGTCCGTGTGGGACGGCGAGTCGTGTTCTCCTACGGCCACGGTTTGTTGGGTCACTATTTTGCACCAATTCCGGGTGCTATTTTCTTCTCCGGCATAGTTGACACCATCTTGTGCAGACTATGGTTGTGACTTGCAATCACAGGTAGGTTGGGTTGCTTGGGGTTGCCAATTGGGTGGGAGAGAGGGGTGGCCGCGGTGGCTGTGGTGTTGACACTGGGTTCTGGGTTTTCGACCTTAAGTTCACATACTTCAATGACATTGTCGCAATGCAATTTTTCTTCGTTTTCTGTTCAAATCACACCTCTGCTTTGGTTTTTCAGTTCACATCTAATCTTGGTTTCTCTTTTCGATTCTATCAGTTTGTTGACCGGCGGTAGCATGGCGTCGTCTGAGAGCGAGGGCTCCACTCACAACCACCTGAATTTTGACTTGAACTTGCTGAAATTCCATCTGGGTTTGATTGTTGATTGTGATAGAGAAATTCGACTTTCTGGTAACCAAGATGTGGAGAGTCTCTGTCACTTGGAAACAAGTTTCTCATTTAGTGACTTTGTTTTTTGTTTTTTTTTTTTTTTTGGTAAATTTTTATTTTCAATTCTTTATCCCTTTATTACAATCATAGAACAAGATTCTATTGGCTTTCCATGCCAAAGCTCTTTCACAACTGTCTAACAAAACACCCTAATGACATTTTGTACTAATCACTTTCTGAATGTAATTACAAGGATACTAAAATGGGTTTTGTTGAATAAGTAATTGGAGAAGATTAATCATGCTAATTACTCCATCACTAAACTAAGAGCAGCGAGTTGTAATCACAGGTAGGTTGGGTTGCTTGGGGTTGCCGATTGGGTTATTTGGGGTTGTCGACTTTGGCTGCTTGGGTCGATGGGACGGCAAATGGTGATGGGTGTGGCTTTAGGAGTTCCATGGTAGTTACAATAATGTGTATAATTTTTTTAGCAGTGTTGTAGTGTTGTAAACTTAAAAATAAGGGATATATGAGTACTTACAATCTTCTATTGATACTCTTTCATTCTACTTTGAAACCAGTTGTAGATTTAAGCTTGTTCTGTTAGGAACTTGATCCTATATATCTTCGTGTGTGTGTGTGTGTGTGTGTGTGTATATATGTCTGTGTGTATATATATATGTGTCTGTGTGTATATATATATAATTTGTAAATTTACAGCTTTCTAGGGGTATTTTAGTCTTTAATCTAATCCTTTAAGCTAAAGGGTTGGTTTGACAAATTCAAAGGGTGATTAAGTCATTTTACATCGTGTGATAACTGTTCAACTAACGGTTGGGTGTTAGTGAAAAATGGAACAAAAGTTTGTAATGTGAGTGATAGTTATTTTCGAAAGATGTTTTAGAGTGATATTTGGCTAAACCTCAGGGGGTGTGAGTGAAATTATGCTGAAGGCCAAAAAGCCAATAGACACACTAGATAAATTATTCCTAAATATGATGACAGACATCAAAAAAAAAATTGAATTTGCCCTCTTTTCATCCAAGCAATTAAGAGGGCAGAAATCAAATGCTAAGGTACGTCACTAATATCGTTATCAATATAACACATCAATGGCTAAAGGGTAAAACGATGAAAATCAATGAGCAACATCCAACGAAAATCGAGGAGAGCTTTGTTCACAGACATGGCATTCTTCTTTTATAATTGATTCTTCTCAACAATTGCTTTTTCCCAATTCGCCTCTATTCATATCAATTCAACCCTCATAAACCCAATGCTCTTCCTTGGCGGTAAGATTATACATATCTCTGTATGTATGTATATGTATATATATATATATATATATATATATATATATATAGAGAGAGAGAGAGAGAGAGAGAGAGAGAGAGAGAGGAGGGGGGGGGCAAAGAGAGGCATTTGCGTATGGGTGTGTGTACATATATTTGTGAGCGTGTAATATATATAATACACAAGAAAATAGCAAGTATAGAGTGAGTGCGATTAAGAGATAGGAGCAATGTGTTCAGAGAGCAATTCTCAGTTTATGAAGGTTGTCTTGGGCGATGCTGGTTATGTGCTCGAAGATGTTCACTTAATTGATTTTCCGGATCTCCCTGTATGTTCTTCCTCTCTCTTTCACTCTCTCTCTCTCTAAATGAAAGGTTATTTTTGGTATTCTTGCCCCAGTCCTAGAGCCATTATTGAGACATTACAGGGATGAGAGAGAGCCAACAATGCCGAAATTAAACGCGATCAAAACTTCACAGAATAAGGTTAAGACTAAGACAAACACGAAGCTGCAAATAAAAGTCACAGACGACGTTACAAGTGTCACCTAAAGTTCTGCACCTAGATCTCACGAGCGGTCATGCGCCCCACGCATCTTCTCCGGCAAAAATTTGATGACAAGAATCCGGTCACATCTCCGGCGAGCCGAGCCATTCAGCCAGTGCAAGTCGAACTAAGCCATATAGGGGTTATATGCACATATGGGTGGGGCAAAATGGGAATCAAATTGGTAAAATATGATTTTTCATATTTAGTTTTTGTCAAAAAGTGGTCGGATGGACTTATTTGTATTTTTTTTTTAAATTTTATTGGCTAACATGCACATTTTCAAAAAGTAAAGACAAAACTTTATATATCAAGATATTTTTTTGCACTTAACCTTTTTAAAAATCAAGGATGCAACTATAAAGATTTTTTAAAACAACATTTTCAAATTATGAG